CGATAGATTCGCACTGCTGATGAAACCCAACCAGGTCGAAACAGCTGTCCAGTGCTTCCTAGCTTTTCAGTTCACGCCTCATTTGCTACATACACGATGAATTCAACTTTGAAATCCCTGTTTGTTGTTACTCGGGATGATCGGGAAACTGATTTACGTCTTTCGTTCCGTTGATCCACGTGCCTTCTGTTTTTGAGTTCTGTTTTCTACTCTTACAATCAGGTGCTCTCATAGTGTTTTGCCTTTTCTATTCTTCATGACAGGATCTGTTATCGTCATTTACCAGTAGTGTTACGAGTACACTTTCACGGGAGATTTGTGGCAGTCCTGTTGCTGCATCCTCTTTTGTTGAGAGTAGTGCACGTTCCACAGCATCTAGCGGTGTGCGCACACCGTGAACGGCAGCACCCGTAAAAACACCGCAACCGGCTTCAACGAACCGAGCGGGTACGTACTCAGCCAAACGACCAGATTCCGGTACCGCCACACCACGAACTCCACGAAGCGGACCTGCACCAACGAGAACCCCGATATCGTCTCGCAATCTGATGGTGAGCAAAATCATCATTTTGTTCCCCTTCTGTATAGTTCAATTTCCAGTTCTTTCCTTCGTTGTCTTGTTTTTTTTTTACCTCGCACTTCAGAGAATCTTATTACTCTTTTTCCTCTACCGCGATTTTTTGTTGGCAGACGAGTTATTCATTGTTTGGTTACTGCATGACTGACCGAAAACATAGATGATCTAATTGGGATTCAGGTCAGTGTCATGTTCCAGTTGCACTCATAGCTGTAGTCTATCCGAGGGAGCTGGATGTGTACTGGTTTTTTTCACATCGTTATAGAAACAGCTCTATCCTTGTGCGAGAGTAGTGACATCGATTTACTCCCAGGTGGCAGGCTGTCTGATCTAGAATATACAGACGACATTGTGCTACTAAACGAAGATCCAGGTAAGTTACAAGCCTTTCTGGATAGTTTGAGTGCTAGTGTAACCAGCTTCGGTATACGTTTTGCACCTTCAAAGTGTAAAATATTACTTC